GAGCGGGGCAGAAGCGGGTTGCGTCGGTACAAACAACCCCCTCTCCTGTGCAATGAGGGTGAACAACAACAGCTGGCATCGAGACAAATTGGAGCAAGGCCAACCTAATTCCTAGTTGACGATCTAATATATAACCTATACGCACACAAAATGACAACTTCGTGGCTCGACATCGACCCGTCGAGCGATTTCTCGCTGGCCAACATCCCGTTCGGCGTCATCACCAGGGAAATCGCCCAATCCCCGCACGTTGGCGTCGCTATCGGCACGTATGTCCTCGACCTCCAGCTCCTCTGGGGGCTGCACCCAGAAAAGTTCCAAGCTGTCCACGAAGCCCTCACAACTGAGATCTTCTCGTCCCCGACGCTCAATGCTTTTGCGGAGCTGGGCCGACCTGCCCACCGCGCAGTCAGGGCATGGCTGCAAGACCTCCTGTCCATCGACACCTCCTGCCCCGAGCTTCTCCGCGACAATGAAGAGGCTCGAAAGCTCGCCCTGATCCCGCAGCGAAACGTGCGCATGCAACTTCCCATGGCCATCGGTGACTACACCGACTTCTACGCCGGCTACCACCACGCCCACGCCGTAGGCGTCATGTTCCGTGGCGTTCAGAACGCCCTACAGCCCAACTACACCCACCTGCCCGTCGGATACCACGGCCGCGCCTCGAGCATGGTGGTGTCTGGGACGCCCATCCAGCGGCCCGTGGGCCAGATCTTGCTGGACCCGGCAGGTCCCACGACGGCAGCGTCACGGCGGCTGGACATTGAGCTCGAGCTGGGGTGTTTTATCGCGAAGCCAAACGCGCTCGGGACCTCAGTCAACGTGGCCGACGCGGAAAAGGAGGCCATCTTTGGATACGTGCTGCTGAACGACTGGAGCGCACGGGACATCCAGACGTGGGAGTACGTGCCGCTTGGCCCGTTCAATGGCAAGAACTTTGCCACTACCATCAGCCCGTGGGTCGTGCTAGCAGATGCGCTGGAGCCGTTCCGCACGACGGGGGTGGAGAACAAGACGCCTCTACAAGACTATCTCAAGGAGGAGAGGCGGGAGAATGTGTTTGACATTCATCTGGAGGTTGATCTGACGAGTAAGCAAGCAACAGTGTTGTCGCCCCTGAGGATGTTGCCGACAGCTAACAATCCGGCACTCAGCGCCCGAAGGCGACACGACAACCATCTCGCGGACGAGCTCCAAGCACCTCATGTGGTCCTTCCCACAGATGATTGCGCACCATACGCTCGGCGGCTGTCCGCTGAGGACTGGCGACTTGTTAGGGTCGGGTACCATCAGCGGGCCGGGCGGAGCCAAGGGCGGCGAGTGCGGCAGTCTTCTGGAGATAACCGAGGGTGGCAAGAAGGAGGTGCTCCTGTACGGCATGGACGCGCGCACCTTTCTCAAGGACGGCGACACGGTGACCCTACGCGGCTCGTGTGGGAGCGCTGGCGCAAAGGTCGGGTTTGGCGAGTGCAGAGGGCGTGTTTACACCGCTCGGAGATAACTTGTACGCTACCCCTCCCTTATTGGCCTATAACATGGGGTGCTGTGGGTATAAAAAGCATTATCTTCCTCCTCTCATATCCAGCGAAACATTGAAGCAAAAACTCCATCGAGACAGAAAAATCCGATCAGCGTAATTTGTCAAGATTTCCACCTGCACATCGGCGCCATTTTCCCCTTGCATTAAACCTTCTTAGCGCCTCTCCTCTAAAGCTTACAGGCTTTGAGCCTCCCTTCGTGGTTTCCAAACATTTCTTCCCCCTTAGAGTCATCCAATTACTAGTTTTGGATTTGAGAAATGGGTTCCAGCAAAAAGGGAGGAACCTAGGGCATACAAGACCGACTCTTCATTCGTACCATTGCGGTTGCCAGAGTTCGACCCTGCAGCTTCCTCTGCAAGTGTGACGCAAAGCGCGGCCCGACCTCTTGGGTCCACCATTTACGATCTGTGTACGAGGTGGGTTGGGTGTGGACACAGCCATACCGAAGCTTCGATCAATGGGCCTAGAAGCCAAACTCAATCGCCTTCTGCAACCAGCTTGGTAACTGGAGCTAGTTGGTGTAAACAATGGCAACAATTCTCGTACCCTTTATTATTCATTTCCTTCTATTGACATGGCAATTTCCCCCTTAAAAGTGGATCTCAATCGAAGATGATGGCAACGGACGGCACGCAGGCGATCTGAGTTGGCACTCGGTTTGGTCGGTTGGGAAAAGAGGCTTCCAGCAGAAAACAGAAGAAAATAGACGCAAGGCCAGTGATATGCCGCCGTTGGGAAACTTTAGGTTACGGCCTAAAGGTAAACCCGTTGGACGGCGTGCCCTCACTTTGTGCACACGCAAGGTCGCGCAAACCATCCGTCGCAACCGCTCTCCTCTCGTCATTGCCCTCTTCTCTTCTTCCACAGCAGAACGCGCAGTCACTGCATCGCCGTACGCCTGCTCGCACTTGTTCGATACGATATCCATCAGCCTCATCCGCCAGACAAAATGTCGAAGCCAGCCGTGCCGAAGCCGAGGCGGAACAGGCTCCAAAAGCATCCCGAGGTGTTGCCAGACCACGGCGAGAGCTACAGCCAACTTAGCTTCGACTGCGGCATGAACTGGCTCAGACGGCCACAGGGCCTTCGTCGTCGAAGCTCAACATCCGGCTCGAGTCGCTACCGCACACCCACGCCCCATCCTCACCCTGAGCCCCATGCCACCAACACCCGAGAAAGAGCAGTGGGCCGGTGGGAGTATGACAACTACCGCGACGACCCCGGCTACGTCGGCTGGACGAGCGCACACAAACCAGGCCGAGCGAAAGCGGTCGTCCACTCGCCACGTCCCCAATCACGACATCACCGCGACGGAGCTCCAGCGAGCGCCCGAACCATCTCCCCTCTCACCCTCCCCAGCGCCGCCATACCAGTAGGCAGCAGTACCTCCCAGTCCACAGCTGCTTCATTTCCGGCCAGCCAACATTATCATCGCCCCAGAGACGACAACGACCGCCACCGTGCCGGCAGCCCGAGCAGCACACGAGCCAACTCTTGCTCCTCCTCATCTGACGAAGCCCCCGTCCTTCTTCCATCGTCAACAGTAAGAGACTACTACAATCCGCCCCCCGAGCCAGACGACGGCGCCCGCGGCCGCCCCCGCCACCCCCGGCCGGTCAACCAGTCTCTCTTATCCTGGAACGTGCTTTACAACAACTTTCTAGGAGGAGGCGGCGGTGAGCACTCGCGCTCAACGTCATCAGCATCGACTTCTTCCTCTGGCATCTCTCCCACCTCGTCAAAAAGAACGGCTGGCACTAAGGCTACGCGTCGGGCACAGAAGGAAGACGAGGCGGGCGAGAGCAGCAGTGCTGGTGCCGCTGGAAGCAGCAGCAGCCCGAACCAGACCAGCCTGGATAGCTCTCCCTTGCTGACGCCGATTGGGCCGCGGTATAACAGCGTGGCAGGCCGGAGGGAGGTGGTCATCGTAAACCAAGCAGGCGACTTGCACCCCCAGCCGAGTGCTGCCAAGATTGAGGACGATCTGGGGGAAGAGGAGATGGTCGTACCTATCCGTCGCCACTGACTGCAGTGCTACCAGGGGAAACTCTTGTTCGTATCATGGCGGCGTAGAACCTTGACTCTTTGGTCCGTGTTCAGGATGGGGGTTCGCTGATAACCATTACGCCAGCATCCTTGCAGATGCGCGAAGCTTCGGCTCCCACGAGCGAGGGCATTGCACTCTGCTCTATAAAACTCCTGGAGGACTCAGAGGCACGGCGTGAGCGAGAGAGCCGATAGCAGTCCGCCCAGAAACTTCCCGACGGGAGAGCGGCGATCTCTTGGCCCAAGATAAAAGGAGGGATAATTAGACTGGGGGGTTTTGTTGCCTCCCCCCTCTTATTCCTTGGCTTTTCTTTCGCACAGTATTCTTTGTTTTTTCTGCTTCGTTTTCTTTCTTCTCCTTCAACTTCTCTTCAAATTGGTACTTTGGTTCCCCCGACGGATTAGACTAGACAGCAGCAGGCAAGGCGTTCAGGGATAAACGGTTCAGGGGTTCTGGCGATCTTGGGTAGCCCGGCGTATGGAGTTGAACGGATTGCCAACATGGCTTCTTGGATTGGACTAGGATTGGGATACTTGGATAAAGCGCTTGGTTCCAAGGAGATTGGGATAAGGGCCTGGAAATAAGGATATGGAAGGGGCGTATACTTCCTGACCTTCAATTTGGGTACTCGCATATTTCCTTAGCTTACATGTACCGGCGTTCACCTTGATGTTGAAGAGTGCACTTATGTTTTCAAAAGTGCCAAGGCAGCTACCAAATTTATGATTGTCTGGCCTTAACGAACAGGTGACCCAAAACTCCCCTATTTACGCAGTAGCACGAATGAGAGCCTGCAAATGTGAGAAAATGGGTCAGTGTGGCTGTTTCTCATATCTCATAGTTCCACCAGCAAAATAACCCCAACCCCAACCCCGACCCCGACCCCGACCCCAACCTCCCCCCCAAAAAAGAAAACGACTACACGACACCTCACAGCGATTCGTTGCTGTTAATGAAAGAAGAGTGTAAACCAGTGTCACCGCTTGTAGAAGACGCTAAATTGTATTGAAGATTCAAACAACCGAGTGTCTTCAACGGTGCTATTATTCGCAGAGCAATGCAAACAAACACTATAAATGAGAGAAATACTACCGTTGACCGTGAACTTATTTCACTCTTTGCAATAAAGTCGTGTATCAAGTCGGTCCACTGACACAGCGTGAGTGTTACCAAATTCGTTGAAAGGGAAAAAAGAAAGAAGGGGAAATAAAAGAGAAAGCATTTGAAAATGGGGTAATGGGAGTGTCATGTCATCCACTCCAAAGAAAAAAGAAAGAAAAAGAAAGAAACCAAAGAAACCAAAGAAACCAAAGAAACCAAAGAAACCAAAGAAACCAAAGAAACCAAAGAAACCAAAGAAACCAAAGAAACCAAAGAAACCAAAGAAACCAAAGAAACCAAGATGAAAACGCATCTCGCTCGGATTTGATCTAAGATCTCCGGATTACCACATACAGGTATCTGTGTACGTGCGTCGCCTAACCACTGGGCTACGAGTGCTGAAAGCGAGAGCCGGGAAAGGCATTTATGAAGTCACCACCTGTTGGTATAAGTTTCACGGCGGGCCTGGCTGGCCCGGCTGGCTGGATGACACTCATACAGTTTGTTGAAAAGAAGGTTGGGTTTTTTCCCATTCTGTGTGTACATGTGGATGGAGAAACCAAACCCGAGGTGCCTGAGTGGGTACCTTAACACGCATTCCAAGACAAGACCGGAAACAAGACTATTCATGCTGTGCTCATGAATCGTGACGACCAGACAGCTGAACAAGAATCCCCATCTCGCGGGTGTGAAAGTCGGGAACAACACGCAGCTACAAGGGCAACTCTACCGCTAGAGAAGAGTAAAAGGGTTCAAGTTACTTGTGCCAGTCTGGAAAATGGGTCCGGTCAATCTTCCATCAAATGCTGCCTGGAAGATGTCGGATCACCAAGTTCAACCGGCATCTCTCTTGACCTCGTAAACCGACAGGACTAGTGCTCTGCCAAAGTGAGGCCGGCGTGTGACTCAAGCTCGGTTGTTGATAATAGCGTTGGCGCACGACTGGGTAGGCCTAACCTGGCTCAGCGGGTTGGCGAGTTGGAACTTGGCACTTTCGTTGCCGGCCGTGCACGCATACAGGGGTCAACATGGCCTGCTAGTAAGAGGACTGCTAACCTGTAATATCTAGTAGTGTCACTCTCCGCCAACGAATAATTACCCAAGAAAGCAAAAGCACTCCTCGTCTTGCGATTCCAACGTTCCATCGCATAAACAATTCCTTCCTCCATTCCCATTATCATTGTCGTGGTTCGTCCTCATGCATGTTGCATCTGCATGTGCCGTCGGCGTCCATTCTGGTGGCACCATCCCGATGCCCTTGGTTGGCGAGGGCTGAAGCCAGCCCCTGTAAATCCGCAAAAGCTAATGAGCTTCAGGCATGGCGTCGAGCCCGTTCACTGGGTTCAGCCCTTAAAACGGGGTCACAAGGGGGACCCTGACCACCCCCTTCATCTCCACCGTTCCGCTGTCAAGAAAGAAAAAAGACATGGGGAGCTTCGGTTGGCGGTGGTCAGTTTGCTCAAGCTCCCTCCCTTGCTTCCCCAAGTCGCGTTCCACGACAGCAGCAGCCAAAGGGCGTGTTGAAAGCAAGCCTGCTTTGCGGCAAGCGCGGCGCCATGAACGAACGAAGGAAGAAAAAGAAATCAGAGCAGAAATTTCATACCGTGACTTAAATAACCCCATCAAGGGCCTGGCGCCCCATTCTTTTCCTGTTTTCTTTCCCTCCTTTGAGCATCTGCCCATCTTTCTCGTCCCTCTTTTCCTGGCCTGTTGCAAGCTTCTTAAGAAGCTCTTTTGATACCCAACCTACTCCTTTTACCATCTAATCAGACCACCACCACCACCACCACCACCATGGACGCCCCCACCCCCGCTCCCGCTCAGCAGCAGCAGGCAGCCAAGCCCGGCCCGATCAACGACGCCGACGTCGAGGACTGGAAGAAGCGCTTCAACGACGTCCTCGCGAAGCCGGGCGAGCACGTCCACTCCAAGTCCCCCGAGACCTCCCAGCCGTGGAACAGCTCCTTCTTCGGGTGCTTCAGCCCGATCGACACCTGCCTGGTGACCTGGTGCCTGCCGTGCATCACCTTTGGCAAGACGCACCACCGGCTGCGCAAGAGCGGGACCCTGGAGGGCTATGAGCCCATCAACACCTCTGTTCGTTTTCCCCCTTATCTTTCTCCCATTCCCTTTTTCTCTCTTTCCCCCTTCTCTACCATCATCCTGATGTGGATGCTAACAATGACACCCAAAAAAACAGTGCCTCCTCTTCTGCGGCTCGGGCTGCTTCGGCCTGCACTGGATCCCCATGTCGATGCAGCGTGCCGACCTGCGCGCCAAGCACAACCTGCAGGGCAACTGCCTGACCGACATCGCCACGGCCTGCTGCTGCGCGCTCTGTGATCTCGTGCAGCAGGACAAGGAGGCGGCCTACCGCGAGCTTTCTTCTCCCAACGTCGTCCAGCAGGCTCCTGCTGCCGCCGGCGGGATGACATACCCGGCTGAGCAGAAGCAGTAAAGGGATAATTTATGAAGGGGAAGGAATTTGGATTGCCAGTAATATATGGCTTTGGCATTCCGTGGAATAGGGGAATCTCGTGTTTTCTGGATACCACATTACAAAGGGACTTTTCACCTCGTCAAACATCATCTCCTTTTTGTCTCTTCTATTATTTGTCAGGGTTTATTATCGTGCGAGAGCAAGAGCTAGAAGAGTGCCATGATACCACCACTACCATACCACAGTAATGCATTTCTTTGCCTTTGCACATCCGTATTTTCTCAGCAAAGCAATCAGCGAGCAATCGGCAAAGCGAACAAACAAAAATACGATATGATACCATTTCCACCCAAGAAAGAGATCTGCAACGCTAATTCCCCGCTCTGACATGGAGTGGGTTGGTGGCGTCGAGGGGCTGAAATTCCGTCCCGCATTTCCTTGACCAAACAACAAGATGACACCCATGGCGCGGCCGAAACGGGAATCCAGCGCGATGTGTCTCCCGGGAATAAGGAATCATTTGATCGGCGTGCAAATCAGACTTCCCTTTCTCTTATTCTGATGGGTGCAGAAGAGGAAGAGGATCAGAGGTTGCCTGATGAGGGGAGAATCACGATTTGCATCTGATGTTTGTTGTGATTAAGGTCGCATTGCATAATCGATTCTTCTCGATGCGGACATATAAGTCCGAACGAGTCGAAAAGAGTGTCTAAAAACAGTACTAAAAGTTGTCTCAAACTCCAGACAAAAAGTGTCATTGACGTATCCCGGATGTGACAACTAAATCGTGTGAATCCCAGACAATGAAAAAAAAAAAAAAAAAACCTTCAATCAGAATCTGGATCAAACTCCTCATTGTTGTCGCGAAAACCAGAAGTCGGAGGCCGCGCCACCTCTCTCTTGTCGTTATCCACGGCTTCAACAAAGCTGCCCAACAACATCTTGTAGACTGACCCAGTCCAGGGCTCCGTATCGACAACGTCTCCCCGTCCGCTGTGAAGTTGAGTTAGTCGCCACGTATTTAAAGGGTCTAAAAGGATAAACTCACAGATAATCCGCCGTATTCCTCTCGTCCAGATATTCCAGCTTCTGTTTGGCCTCGACGTCGTCGCCAAACCTGACAAACTCAACACCAAACGGACGGTGGCGCGGAAAGGGCAAGCCAAATTGGGCTGCAAACTTGGCAATCTCATCTCGCACCTCTCCTCTGTCCTCCTTGATCCAGAGCCCATCCGTCAGGACGATGAGGGTAAACCCCCGCGTCTTCTTCATCTTCTGTTTGTACTCGGCGAACAGCTCGCTCAGGGCCGACGCCATGTCCGTGTGTATCTCTCCCGGAAGATTGACCTTTTCCTTGGCCTCAGATCCGACCTGAAACGCTGCCTTGGGTCGAGCAGACTCCATCATCTTGACAAACTGCCGAGTGTGTCTCTCTTGGGAGAGGCCTGGGCTCTGGAACGTGAAACGCAAGTCGATGTTCCTGATGCTATCGAGACCTTTAGTGAGCGATACCAGTGTTTCCAGAAGCATCGTTGCCTCGGTCCAGTGCTTGACCATCGAGCTCCCGTTATCCACGAGAAATACCTGTTTAATTGTTAGCGTTGTTTTGAAGGACACAATTGCCGGTTCATTTACAAGATATCTGTCTTTGTAGAATTGCGCGAGAAGCTCGTCCCCATGCTTTGCCTTTATGCCAAACGTCTTGGCAGCGAAGGTCATCAGCGAGCGCGAAGGTGACCGAACTCGTCTCTGGTCTAGTTGTAGAGTCTTCCGAGCCCACGACATGTTGTATTGTGGGTCGAGGGTGACCGAGGTTGGTGTTTGTGGCCGTGACAGGTCCTTCCCAATACCAGGAAACGGCTCGGGAGCGACTGATCTGTCGCGGCTGGCGGTATAACCAAGCCTGTCGGGACTTCCGAGAGGAGTCCTGGCTTTCTCTGGGCGACCTCTCACTGGCTTGATGGGAAGACGAGCTCTCTTTAGCCGGGCAAGGGCTTCGGGGGCCGGTGTCTCTGCCTGAATGATCTCTGGTGAGTCCAGCCCAGCTTCGGCAATGAGACTCCGGTGACGGGTCCAGAGGGAACCCGGGGGTTCAAATTCAGCCGACGGATTGCTTTCCACCGCTGCCAGCAGCTCGTTGTATAGTTCGGTGATTTTACCTGCGCTGTGTCTCAGATTTGCATCGGCGTTCAACATGCCCTGGTCAACCAGACTGAGAATCTTGCTCGTCAGGTGATCGCTTCGGCGGACGGAGTAATGCAACAGCTCATGCCATGCAGTTACTTCGGGCAGGACATCGACGCCGTCATGAAAACAGCCGTCGAGGTACTGGCCAGAGACAGAGGGTCGAGTTGTCAGATCGAGGATCGCAGCTTGCCGAGCCTTGCTGAACTGCGCTACACCCTCCGCTCCGAGGACGACCCATGTTGCCACTGTGGAAAGAATAGCGCCCAACGACCAAATGTCACCGCTTGATGTGTACTGTTCTCCTGAGCCGGAGGATACTTCAGGCGCCACTGTTAACTTAGCGTTAGCTAGCTGGTTTCACGAGAAGAGAGAGAAGTGCGCAGAATTTCCCACCGTATGCCGATACAAGACCAGGTCGGCGTTTGGAGGAAGCCCAGGGGACTAGCTTCCACGAATCACCAACCCACACGATATTCTCGGGCTGGATGTCCAAAGAACTGCTGTATCGGGGTTAATAACTGCTCCTTCTGGATTAAAAGTTGACTCACGTGTCGAGTTGGTGCATCGCTCTGACAGTTTCAGCCACCGAGCTCAACGATTTCCACAAGTCGAAGACGTCTTGAAATAATATAGGCGATTTATGCGATTGCATAAACTCTGCAAGGTCGAAGTCGTCCGACTCAAACAGAAGATAGTGTCGAGACGAGGACACGGAGGAAACTTCAAAGACCGAAAATAAACGAAGGGTTCCTGGAATATTGGCATACAGGTC